TGTCGCTAACGTCAGAGCTGTAAAAGTTTTCGGTAAAATGTTTACATACAGCCTACTAACTTTTATAAAATACCTATATAAGCTTTAAAATCTTAAATCTATTATTATATAACTAATTATAAAAATATTGCTAAAACATTGGTACAGTTAAATAATACAATGAATATTTTGTAGGAATTTTATTGAACACAAGAGCACACAAGTGCTTAAATACACTTAGGAGTATGTCGTACAAAGCTTAATTACAATGATATTCGTACCTCAAGTAAAAATAGCGACAGGAATAACTAAGAGACTGCAATAGATAGTGACAAGTTGACAACAATCATCAAAGTGGTGCACGTTATGCAACATGAACAGAGTATACTAGCAGTTTCACAAAACAAATACCAACAAACTTTCAACAACTAGTTTATGAATTCAAAGTTAGTCTGTCCTTTTAGAATCGGTATAACATTTTCAGTATCAATCAAATATCATAGCCTCCCTATAACTACACTTAAACTACAATACAAAAGATAGATTTACGTAGCTTTGGTAATATAAAGAAAACATTTTGCATTTTAATACAAAATATCGATTAGCATAGTGAATGCATTCATAACGATTACAAACGAAATAAAGTTCAATGAAACTTTTGTCATGTCGCGTGTGATACATAATGCTTTCTTTCATTCGTAACATGGTTCAAACTAGAGTAAGATACTCATTACTCATGTCATGTCTTACACAATAACCAGATTTAAGAAATGTGTGTATTTTATAACGCGAACTATACATGAATCACATTGTATCGATCCGATGCGCCTACGTCACTAGTACGTCATGTCTAAAACGTCGCAACGTTGACGTCGCGTCGTAAAAGGTGTTGTAAATGCAGTCGAATACAGAGCAAGTTTGCACGTGGTTATCGTACGAGCCACGTCGGCGCTCAGAAAGCAAACAATTTCCACAGAACATGGCACACACGAGACTGGGTCATGTGCTCTTACAAAAAACCAACTGCTACTGGTAAAATACAGCAAGTAGACAATACATTGTAATATTTAAAATTGGTGAAATAGAGATTACTTCTTATTCGAGACAGATCGGATACAACTTTAACATGCAGTTATAACTTACTATTGCAACAGTATGCTAACATGAATATATTGCTTATTATTTCAACACTCTAGGCACCACAGACTAAATTCTTCAGTATTAAACAAGGTTTACTAGCTTCTGAATGTGATAACAGTATAAATAGGAACTAAGTGCCCGCTAGGAGATTCCGAAACACTAACTTATTTGACTCGTATTTTTGAGGAACTGCGATAACATTCCTTAACCTGCAACTCGTTTAGGTACTTTTAAAAGATTGCTTTCGGTTCGAGAAAAATTACAGCGCGGACGTATACTTTATAAAATTATGCAATCGGGAAACGACACGAATTATAACAACCATCATAAAATGTTCAATTTCTATTACTTTAATTTTTACAACGGGATTCTTGAATATACGGAAAACACTGAATATATTCATCATATTCTGAATAAAACTCATAGATTTAACACCAATGGAATATAACCACAAAAAACGGTGTGAACAGACAAACAACGCTTAAAAGAAAAAAAGCGAAACGACGAGCGTTAAAGAATATAGTAGTAAAATTAATTTTATCTTTATTTACTGTGGGATGAATTCCCGAGGTGGAAGCAAGCGGTGTTTCCAGGAATACAAGCTTATAGCTACTATGAAAAGGCAAAGGGAACGGGAGGTGTTATAACACCTTCAACCATTTCACGCAAGAATTATAAAGTTGACATTTATAATAACACGACTCAAATAAGTTAGTGACTAAAATATATTTTATTTTATACTTTGAGTAGAGGTTTAAAAATCATTTTGAAAACTTTCTTGCACAAAGTAATTTGCAGTATTTTTTACATATGTATAATGTAACAAATATTGCTAACTACTTAGTGCAAACGTGTTATGATTAGACTAAAGTTATTCGAGTGAATATTTCGGCTGTTTGTTTGATTGACTAGGTATTATCGGTAGGCCTGAATACAAACATAATTGTTTGCGAGGATCGCATTCCCGGTTTATGGCAGCAAACAGAACTGCTACCCTGAAAGCGTACGAGCGGACATAACTCCGATCCCGCTAAAACGCTATGAACAAAGAGTGAACAGTGGTTTACCGCGAACAACGTGGAACGTACATTGCTTTTTAATAAATGTTGTATGTAGGAACTCAAACTAAAACTAGAAATCTAGGACTCCAAGATTGAACGATATTAATATCCAATACATTGTAATTACGTAAAAGTAGCAATTGAACATTTAAAAGAATTTTATCGTATAAAAAATTTCAATATTATTATTAATATCAAATTGTTACACGGTAAATGATACAGAGTTGTACACAAAGCAAGTGGAAAAGTCATTCAACATTTTAATCCTCCGTGAGATAGTATTCATTCAACTTTCCGAATGTATGGAAAAGTTTGGTTTGAATATCGACGCGCAGACATTCATTTAAGTTAGAGAATATACGAATTTGTACGTACAACAAGTTCGTGAATCTCTAGTATGGGACAACGCTATATCAGAGTTTCGTAAAATTGTGACTTTAAAATATATTAGGAAACAAATTCGACGAGAACGTCGCATTATGCTACATGAAAATGAAATACAATACGATAGCGTAAGAATAATGATTAAGGTGCAATATGTTGTGTATTAATTAGATATTATATATTTTTATTACGACACATAAAAAGTTATAGATTCTCTTACTAATATCTGTTTTGTATCGAGCATCATAAAATGTATTTGTATTAGAATTTTTTAAATACTTCTTTGTTTTGATAATAATGGCACAATATCTATTCACCTATATTAAACTCTATTTTAAACTGATTTATTTGTTTATATTTCATAATAAAAATATTTCTTTATTAAATGGTATTGATATCAATTGTTCAGATGTACTTATATTAAATGTTCGATAACAACGTCTGCAGTCGCGCTTACCGTTACATCTAGTCGCTATGCTATAGCACCAAGCTAAAATAACCGAGTGATCGCGTTAATATGTACGTTAGCACTTTTCAATAATATACGTGTACAATCTTTTACATTGACCAACAACTCGAGTTTGACCATACGAAGATACATCGTCTAACAACCTTAGTGATATTAGATACTAAATCTTACTCTCATTCACAGATTAAAAGTCGTTGTCGCTTTCATTAAATATTTGTGACTTACGCGCCCTGCAAACAGGCCTCTTTTAACAAAACGAACGAATCGCGTATAGGTGTCACCTGCGTTTGATTGCAATCTCAAATGGCGGATATATCATCAGACTCTTTGAGCCAATATCACCGAAAAGCAATCGACCGTAGGCTCGATACGTACTCGTTTAAATACCGTACTGAGGCACAATATCGAGCGTTCGAAAAACAACCCTATTCGCAGTTCGAAATGTCAAAAGCAGCTTGTGCAATCTACACTAAAATGCCGCTAAAGCTTAAACGTGATGATATCATTTGAGCAACACGAATTAGTGAGCACAAGAAATTAATTTTGTTTCGCTATCCTTACGTAAAGCGACGCTACAATATTTTATTTAGCCTTATATTGAAAGGCTTTCGCGACTGATATTCTAGCATAAATTGTAAAAGACAATTTATCAAATAAACTTATTCGTATAAAGTGCGGACGAAAAGTGATTTGCTAAAAATGTATTACATATAATAAATATTATTGTTCTTGTGTTTCCTGTGAGAGCTCTTGTGAAAAGCCACGAGTATAAAAAAGGTAATATTGAGCGCCTGATAACTGGCAAGAAAATCTATAATAATAATTTAACAAGAAAAGCTAATTGGCAAGTAAATAGCCTCAAGCAATATCACACTAGTTTGTTCATGTTTCATTAAAAAGGTCTCCCTAAAATATTTTGTCGGTTTGCAGAGTATTCTTGTTGAGTAAAAGTTTATTTAAATACAATGTTAGTATTATACGACAGTCTTGATAAATTAATTTTATCATGTGAAAAAGCTATCTAGCTACCTAAAACCGCGTCTTGTTTTGTAAATACAAAGTTAAAACCAATGTTTCACACAAATAAACATACATAAGTCGGATAAAAAATATTATTTCATAATATTATGTGATATGTTCCTTTGTAAAAAAGTCCTATGTAGGTAATAGTTAAAATATTAAATCTGTTTTGAGATTACAAAATTGAAACAAATGGTTAAAAATGAACTACAATTTGGCTGCCCACTTTTAAGATACAGATATAAAATACTAACATGAACTGCACTAAATCGAGCCAGTGATTACACATAGTATCTTAGATTATGTAAAGTATTGAGTAACAATGCGAGAGACTTGATACAAATGTACCGCTGAAAGCGTGTCCAAGTACAGTGTACCTATATACTTAATATGTCATCACTGTAAAGTTCCGTATATCTATCATCTTTCATTTTCAAAAATATACTGATATATTTTAGCTTCTGTACATTAAAATATGCAATCTTTATTCATTAATCTTCAATCGCAAAGTTTTCAGTGAATAAGTAAAAACTTTGCGTAATCCGCTCTCGATGAACGAGATTGTACATTAATGGATTGTTGCTTATTTATTTTCCAATCTCACTTGATTGCTTTTGGCTTCCATAAAGCTCGGACTTGAGTTGGTCGCATTCAGATCAAAGCGAACCAACTGAAACAATGTGCAGTTTCCGGACGGACACACGTCAGACACGTCGTTACTAGCTACGGAACTCTAGAATGAATGACACTCAACAATACAACGTTTTACATTAAATGACGACCGTTTGTGACGTATACAGAAAAATATCGCTTCTTAGTTTATGCACACAAAATGACAAGCTTTTATAACTAAAATATAATTTGTTCGTAAAAGGCATAGTTACTTACGTAGTAAAGGATTGAGATTGAAAAATGGCGGCGAGGTATAATTGCCGCGTAGAGTAGTTCTATTCGAACGACATGAGATTAGCCGGCAGGGGCTTCACAATCTTAGTAGTCACATCTTCGATCACACGAACCCACATCTTCGCTGCAGATTCCGAAGCGGCCCTAAAAGAAAAATTTCCTTCATGTGACTAAACTGGAATACCTGTCAAGTTATTTTACTGAACCCTACTGCAAAAAACATGAAATATATGGTAGAACAAGTCGAGAAAATTCATAGGTACTTAGTACGTACTTGAACTTGTAGAGCGTGCCGGTATGATGGTTGATCAGCTGGAATGCGTCAGCGCTGTCGCTGTCAGATATCTTGGCGAACCACCCCACCAGGCATAGCACCTTGCACTTCTCGTCGCGGAAGTCGCTGCGGTTCGTCCTGTACAATTAACGTCAAATATCATGTATAGACCTAATATTATAGATAATAACATAATAGATGTATCATAATATAAATGGCATAAGGTAGAAGTACGTATTCCCGTTAGTGTCCCAGTTCCCGTTAACTAGTCAGTTTTTAATTTTTTACGTCTTTCAACCAAAATCAAATTAGAGTTTGTAAATGCCAATTTATTCTTGGTACTATTTTAAACAATTTTAATAGCAACGTTCACCAAAAAGTTTAATGGCGTCAAAACTGTGCAAACTTAAAAATACGTTATAATGAAATTGTCTGTAAGTTCAAAGTTCTGTCAGTGAACTACGAGACCACCCCGTTGCAGAAATCATCTAGCCATACTTCGACGGATAAAATTAAGGTAAGAGTGTTAATGTTTATAAAAAGTTTGGTGTATTATTTAACGATTTAACCTATAAATTGAGGTAAATCTCATTGAAACGTAAAAGTTTTTGCATGTTACATTTATTGGTACTCACAAACCCCTACTTGCCCTAGTGCCCGGTAAATTCGTTTATTTTTTTACCGGTTACTGGTACACTATCAACCCGGTAACATACGTTGCACCGAAACCCGGTATTGTATCCTTATTGCTTTGAAATAGGTCTCATATTCCTTTGAAATTTTAGTTTATATTAAATATTTTCTGCTGGATACTAGTACATGCATTAACAGCTGCATTTAAATCCGTCATGATCCTTAATGCCTTAAGATAAGTATTATTTTCCGATAACTCGATAGAATGTAATTAGTAGGCATCTTATTTGTTTTGTTACCACGTGCATTTGGTTGCTTTTTTCTGAATGATTTCCTAATTTTGTATAGTTTGCGTTACAGCTTTGCTGCTCTAAAACCAGTTTTTTTATTTATGGGGCGCAATTTCAGTATATTAATAGGAATATTGACAACTGGGCAACATTAAAAAAAATTGTTTCGGAAGACAATGGCAATGGTAATTCAATTATTTAAACATGGTTTTAGAGTTCAACAGAACAGTGGCCCTGTATTTTGTCATGCAAAGTTCACCGTTTTATAGTACTTACTCCTTGACAGTAGTTGAAATTGTAGCAAGGGCGAAAAAGCTCTAGTTATTTCATTTACTTGAATAGTGTAATAAATTAATTATGCTTTGCAGTTCGAGTCTTGACAAATGGTAACTTGTGTGTAATTTTCAGTACCTACACGTTTTGTCATCGTTGATAAAATTTGTTAGATAAATATGTCTCATTATTTGGAACTCCACCTGTCGACATTTTCATACGCCACTACTTTTCCATATTTCTTGTATGACTTTCACTTTCATTCATAAGTCACTAAACTCCGTGTCTTTAGATTTGGGTGCAAGATGTCAGTCAGACCTGTGAAGTTATCCAGGTGACAAAAAATCATTGATAGGAACTAAAAATTGTCTCAAAGTCGTTGAGCCATAATTGAAACTGACTAAAGGTAAATTAATTTGCGTATTTATCTGGGATCTATACCTTTCCAAGTTGGAATTCTGGTGTCCGTAAAAAGCTTCGAGCTGCTTGCTTGCCTGAGTTGTCTTATAATAAAGTACTCCGGATTTCTTGAACTAACGCATGGGTTTGTGTTTAATTTTGGGCCAATTGTCGGCTTGCTTCTGTGTGCTGCTGTATGATTACTTCAAACCAGTGACAACCTGGTCTGTCAGGGTTTTATTGCTTTATTTTTAACACCATGCTACATCTGCGCTTTAGTTACAGGAAATGGCTACTGCTTGGCATCAGCTAAAATTGAGGAAAGCGAGAAAAAGCTCGGTGCTCCTGATTTTACAATAATTGAATTACCACACATTTTTTAATAAATATGTATGAAAGTTCGTATTTTTACTATTTTGCTAATTTCTGCAAAAAAACGTGTTAATTTTCTTTCAGGTAGCCATGACTAAGAAACAAAAGGCCATATTAAAGGCCATGGACGCAGTTAGAAAAGGAGCCTCAATTTCAGCTTCCACGGTCATCGTTGGACGACAAAATACGCAGCCGCTATTCTATTGAATATTCCAAACTCATATCATATAGATATAACTTAATGTCCAAAAAATTGTGAATTAGGTACCTATTAAGGTTTTAATCAATAATTTTGTATGGAACTTATGGCACCGACTTCTTACCTATCAGTGGGTGGGTAACCTATCAATACTAATAATCGTTATTTTTTGCTTTTTAGTTTTGACTTTTTGTTTGTTATTAGTTTTTGGTTTTTTGAAGTCGGTTTTTTAAACGCAATTTTTATATCAAAAGAAGAAGAAGATCATTTGAGTAGATGGATAATTCTTATGGCAGATAGTGGATTTCCTGTTATTAAGGCGCAATTGTTAGATAGCGTATTTTATAAAAAATTGAAGCGAAAAAACCCTTTTAAAAATGGCAGTCCAGGTCGTCACTAGTTTGAAGCCTTATTATAAAGCGACACCCTGAAGTAGGCCAGCGAGTAGCCCAAAATCTAATGCAAACCCGTGATTTAGTTCAAGAAAGCCGTTTAAGATCGTGGTATAAAGAAGTTGAAGACTATTTTTATTATGGCACACCTTGAGAAAGCCATTAATTCTATTTTAAAATGTAAAAATTTAAGTTAGTGATGTTTTTTTACCAAAGGTTACTGAAGATGCCATTAAAATATGTTACTAGTGTTAACCAATAATTAATGTAATTTTTTAATTAAAAAAATTAAAACAATTCATGCCTTTTTTGTTAAATACAGACCCTGATTGTTTTCACAACTATTTTTATTTAAAAATATTTTATTTCTGTGAACTTTAACGTAAAGCAATAGAGTTCAAATTTGCACTTAAAATTGCCGGATTTCGGGACAATAAAACGTTAACTAGTACAATTCTACCGGATACTGGTACAATTAGCCCTTTTTGTATTTTTTTTGTTTTATTGTTAATTAACATTTCCATAAGTTTAATAGAATTATAATATACTAAAAGTATACTAAATTATCTAACTAGTCATATAAAATTTATTTTCATAAGTCTACTTGTTTCAGCCTAGCGCGCATGCAAAGTCAGGGAAGTTCAAAACTTCACGGTTACTGGGCCGTTTACCTTAATTGTGTTAAACGGATATCTGAATTTTAGCAGTCAATATTCAACACATATTCAAATGTGAAGTGAAGTGAACAATATTCATAACCAAAAAATGCGTAGATTGTATCTGTAAAATATCCAAATATTTTTTATTGCGAAATACTCGTGTACCATAGCAACCGAAAAGCCTTTAATATAAAATATTGTTTTAAAGCGCCGCAGGTCGGACAACGTATGAGTATCTATAACTAAATAGAGTGTGTTTTTTTCACCATTACTTATGAACACGAAACTTGCTAGCATATTTTTACATACAAAAGTTTCGCTCGTATGCTTCGAATATTCAAACAATAGATCGTAGAATAGTAGTTTTACGCTGTGAACAATACAGTTTTGTTTTCAGTTTTCGGTTGTTTGCAAATGAAACAAAAGAAAGCTTTATGATTGGTGAGCGCCTTTTCACATACGCCCGACTTCTCGAATGGCCGGAGCGTATGAAAAGGCATTAATTACATAAACAAAACCAGTTGCAAAGTATTTAACAGGTGGTGCATATGTCAGCAGGCGCCCGTTCCTTAGTAACATAGGTACCGGTCCGGGGTCCCTATGAAGCTAACGTACATAATATGTATAATACAATGGAAACTAGAGCGTGTGAAAAGGCCCTGAATCTACAATGTACATACGAAGTAATTATGTAGTTTACAAATTACAAGCTACTAAAACAAAGGACGTAAATTGAATGATCGGACGTCACGTTCGAATTTCAGAGCAAACGCGACGTTCATGCAACGAGAGTAGCATGAACGACAATAATTAATAGACGACGGTAGGTTGCCCTGTATTTCCGCACAGCTCTGTCGAGCATGAATTAGTTGAGCTTCACAAAATTGAACTCTCAGCAACGAGATGCATTTTATAATTTAATCTTTGAAATACTGAAGTCTGATACTACTACCTAGGCAATTCAAAATATGCATCGTTTCGGTATCAACATGGCACATTGTTCAGTGAGTTTGATTTTCGCATCAAACCGCACCACATGCCACGTGCCAGAAACCGCAAAACCAATAACTAAAGCGTGAAATATTAATCAGCATAGAACAGTAGCCCGCGGACGACGCACTGGTCATGTCTCGCAGTAAAAAATATATTATACTTTCAAGAGTTACTTTAGTTTTCCATTTTAGTAAAATTTCATAAAAGTAATTAAAATATTTTTCATTATCATGTTGTGAACTTCATAAATACCAAATATGTCATGATTTGTTCAACGATGTCTGTATACGACCCGTTATAGACGAGTCGATTTCCGGCGCTCTAAGATACTGTAACCGAAGCTACATGAAGGAAATAACATTTCCTTAGAATATGACCTACCAGGTCGAAGGAAAAGGTTTGTCAATTCAATAAGCATGTGTCATAAAGTTGCAATTTTTTAAACGTACATTAAATACAAGATAAGTTATAGTTTCGACGTACAAGGCTAACTAGTGTAACAAAGAAAGTGTGAAACTTTTATAGATAAAATGAAAACGATCCGCAAGCGGAGCGGCGGGCGTAGTTTGATAAAATAATATCACCTAAACCCGATTTTATAGCTGATCGGTTGGCTGTGGCAATATCAAAGCGAGTAATATGGCTTCCATGACACATTTCGTTTACACCGACCGACATGACACGGACTGAGTGACGTCAATCACGTTGACACTATTATGGTCTTTATACATTTTATAGTACATTTATTATCAATTTAAACTGTAGTTCGAAAAGAAAACATATTATATTTTACTTAAAATAAACCCACCACAAAAGTATGATATAAAAAATTAATTTGTGAAGAAAAATCTGTGAAAAAGAAACCATAGCCACTTACCCTTTGAAGGACTTCGAAGCATAAAACACGAGGATATTTCCAGAGAGCTGGAGCCAGTAGCGCTGCCAGGACGACAGCGATATTTTCCGTCCATCCTTCAAAATAGTCTTCCTCCTTACGAATCCTTGAAAATCGCACTGGATGACGTCAGCCCTCGATATATCACTACAACAAGAATGATTCCGTATCAAAATTGCGATGTTTTCTCCAGATTTATCCACACTTCACGCCAGCACAATCCAATTTAAAAGTGGGTCAGCGAAGATATGAAAAATTCGCATCGGCAAGAATAACATTGGAAAGAGGAAATGCTAAATCCGTCTTCTACATCGAACCATTCTATCCGGAATACGTTTCAATAGAAAGGAAGCTGATTTTGAAAGAGCAATCTGCAATGTCTTAAAGTACTGATCGCGTGCATAAAGTCCACGAAATCCTTTCAATGCTATAAAACATTAGAAATCGTAAGGATGCAAGCGACAAGCGGATATACATTTTTCAGACAGACCGGAAATAGAAAATGTTCAACGTTTAAAAACTGGAAATGGGTATACCAGCTGCACTCCAGTTCTTAGTTGCTCGAGTCATTTTAAAGCTAGAGACTTTAAGCCACGGCTGTAGGAAGCCGAAGAGATTAAAATCGAATGTCCAAGCTCTTTACAACGTGCTTCGAACCTATAAGAGTTTCTACTGACGGATAAATCTGTCGCTCAAAATGGCGATACATCGTATTTCAAAGGGATTTACCACGTGTAAAATGTTATAGCAAAATCTTGTTACTTCTCAAAACCATTTATATAATGTAATACGGGTATAATATTGAACAATATTACATTATTACCTATTTAAAAATTATGTATTTTATTTGAGAAACAGGAGGAAGGAAAGGTACAGCTGTAAGCTGCTTAAACAAATCCTGCTCAAGTCTCGAACCCTTATTAGTAACAAAGCTCTTTTATAAAATCTCAAAGCAAAATAGGACAAAAGAGCACGGAAAGTTCGTTATGTTGTCCTCACAGGGCTCCCAACCACAACCTTTACATAAGCTTATTAGTTTGCAAGTCTAAACGGACGCCTATGACGTACATATTTCGAGATTTAATGCAAAACAGATTTCATAGAATGATGTGTCAAAAGCCCGCAATCTCCAAACGTAGTTGAGCGTGTATAGCAATCTCCAGGCGCGGCGGTTTTGGTACTACCGTTCTACTTACATGCCCGTTTCGCATGTTATTTTCCAGACTCTTGAAAGCAATTCAAAGACTGAGAAATTTGAATGGTGATTCGCTGTCATTTGCATATTTACCAACCGTAACTATGAACAACTGATCTACATCTACATACCTGATGGAATTCACAACGTTTAACGTCTATAATGCTGAACTTTACACAACAAAGCTGTCCTTTTGTAGCTAGAAATATAACTACTTTATATTCTAATATTCTTAAAGATATTAACTTTTTACGATACTGTATTACTGTAACCATATTATTGCAAAACGAATTTCCGTAAAACTTTCATTGACATTATTTCCAAGAAAGTGGGTGTGAAAAAGGAAATTGTAAAATTATCTTACGAGTGCGGCAGCGATTGAGACATCTTCCCGCCTGAAACGGAACTGGGTGACTCCAGCAGAGTGTCGTCGAGCAAGTTCACTGAACCAGCAGGAGTCTTGTTCTCCATCTTGTCGTCTGTGTGGTTCTTTCCAAATATGCTGGAAATCAAGTCTCAGGTTAACAAAAACACAAGTTACGCATGTATAAAATACGGACTCGAATATAGACCACATTTTATACAGTTCATTTTAAAGCATTGTTAATTCAAGAGGAAGTGCAGCGCCAACGGAAAATAATTGCACACAAAAGTGGCACGAAGTGAGCTTTGTTTTTTAACAAGTACTCAATTCATATTATACAATCCACTGGAGCACGAGAGAATAGTTCCACGATACGTAATGGGTATCTACAGCAAAGTAAATAATAGTCTGCATTCCAATGTAAAATGAAAATGTATTTCTAAGACCCGACAACTGCAATTCCTCTTTAAAGCTCAAAATCTCGATTTCCGAAGAGCGATTGAAAATATAATATTATTAAGTTTACGAGACGCTGCATAAAGAAGGCTAATAGGATTATTTTGTCTTGAAAATTCAATTAGTCTTCATATTTTATTTCAGTTTTTCACAGAATGCTTAAATCTGCTATAAAATATATTTTTTATGCCAATACGCAATCAAGTGGACTGACAAGGGTTAATTTTGTTAGTTTTGGTATTCTATTAAATCATAAGCACAAATAGATTGAAATTTTGTTACAACAATGACAAAGTGGCATGCGTCTGTGAAATGGTAACAGAATGACGAATCGGAATAAGTGAATTAGCAGACTTGTGGCACGGGTTCATTGCAAAATCGTTTCGTTCAAAGCATTCTAGTGCTTGATATCTACTGCTAAGGATTAAATCAGATAAGCTCATACTATAGGATTGCTAACGCACTACGTAGCGGCAGGGTTCATGGTAACACGAAGCATCACAAGTTCTACAAACACTATATAATGTACAACATTGAATCTAACGGTCAACATTAAAAACTGTGAAAATGGAAATGTTAAATACAAAATAGCAATTGCATGCGAGCATCAAAATAATTACATAATTGTTCGCCGACGTCCGATAGACATAATCATCTTTAAGACTAATTACAAAAAATACACTAAAATGTTTTGACACACATTTATAACTGCTAGTTACATGTATATGTACAAGCATAAGGCAGATTTTAGGCACAATATGTGAACTCTAAATTAACTTGAGTTAAACTATCTCGGTTATTCCACATTATACAAAAAAAATGATTGAAAATTATATAAAAATAAAACTATTTTCTTTTTTAACTTTGCCCCACATATGATTTTCGCCTGTGTCGTGGGTGCATTTACAAACATACAAATTCACATAAACCTGACACTCAGGCCCGGAACAACAGTCTGTGGATCACACAAAGCGTTGTTCCGTGAGGGAATCGAACCCACGACGCGTTGCGCGGCAGCCAGTTGTCCAACCACCACGCCAACCGTGCAGTCAGTAAATTGTTCTTAGATCTCTTGAAAATTTGATTCCTGTCAGATTATAGACCAATTTTTTATCTTACTAAGAATGAATCTCTACCGCTCCACCAAGTAAGTACGACTGTACATTTTAGTTTAGTTTTTCAGTTTAAATAACTACGTTTTATTAGGTCAACATTTATTATTTTCAAATAAATTGATTCATAAATGTCAGCTTGCTTGAAATTCATTTATGTGTTTTAAAGTTATTAACAGTCCATTCCCAATTTCTCGAAAATGAAATCTTTAAATATTTGCTTTACAAATGACACGAAATTGTTGATTTACGAAACCCGAATGAACACAGGGTAAACAAAAAGCCAGTTTCAGACATGCAATCAAGTTCGTAAACAGTATCCTGCAGGGTAGCTGTTATCTGATTTGATATGCCCACCGGCGCTCCGGGAGAACTCTATCCGAACTGTCAATAAGCACCGACAGCGTAATTGTTTCACTTACAATTGTCTGTTACGAATAAACAGAAACAGCCAGTCTGTTTATGTTCATTACAATTTAATAAAAAAGAACACTTGAAATATTTATTGCGAACATAAATATTTGCAACATTACCTATATAGATAGGCTTCTTATACAATAACTCGATAAAACTTGTCGCAACTACATCCCGAGCCAGTTGAATCCACTAGGGCAAAGTATGAAACTAGCATTAACTAGAAACGGAAGTTGGGCATCAACGTTCGTACAAGATTGATGCAAGTCTAAATCGGTACACATCTACTACATTGTACAACTCAGCCGATGCAGTCCCACTGTGGCCTACGTACGTTAAATAAAAACATAATCACTACCTAAATGTAACATTAAAATTATTTACCATATAAATAGTTCAGATGCTGTTTATTCATAAAATAGCACGCTTTTGGGTGGGCGTGTTGTTTATTCAACAAACACACCCAGTTCGCAAAAATGGTAGCAAACACTCTCAATAGGTATTGTTTTAGCAAAACATTTATTCATAGTGTGTAACGACAATATCTATTAACTGGAAAATAGAACTAGAATTTGTAATGACATGTTCCTTAGAAACGTTCGACCCGATGAACTATGTATTCATGGAACCGCAATTTCCCGAAAGGAAACTCTATGCAAACAGAACATATTTACTTACTGTACATACAACATGTTTGTTGCACCCAGCATTAAATTGTAACGACTTTTCCATTTATTTCCTTGTACGCGTACATAGTCACTGAATTCGTTAATTAATGATCCAAATCATTAACAAAATCTTTATCGAATGAACTTTTAATGCAATATCACAAAATTTGTTAAGTGCTAGAGAAACATTTAAAATTGTACGAGAAAGTTTTCGAAGTATTGTCGTCTCACTGCAGCTATGAATAAAATGTGCTGACCACAATAGACGTGTTTTAGAGACACAGAATGCATTGTCCGTGTGCGAAAACGAACAACATCTCACAATATTCGGAGCCATTTTTAGATCGTATCTCTTATATTTTTCATCACAAGTCGTATATTCTGGTTTTAGACCTTAAACTATTTCTTTATCAACATATGACATTGAAATAGAGATATTTTATATAAATAAACTCTCTTTATCCGTGTTTTCACGTGTTTTGTTTGAGACTCGATTTCGTTGGTGCCTAGACCTACCTAAGATCCTAATCTTATGCTATTAATTTGTTTATACATGACGATGTACGAAGAAGGCACGTTGAACGTTGAAAATTTTACAAATTTTATAATGAATCTAAAAAGGGTTTTTTCAAATTTGTGGAATTAGTAAGTTGTATAGTTTGTATTTATTTAGTCCATTCATTACGCATACCAATCATTAACAGGGTTTCAAAATGCCTTCCTAAAAAAAATAACCTATGCACAAAGATCGAAACTACGGTCCAACCATGTAAACATAAACGTATTACATTTTCATATTTGCGATACGGGGTGTTCGGAATTGTGTTAAACAAATAATAGACAAAGTTTCGTCCAGTCTATGTTAGGTAAATTAAACATTTCATATGCATAGAACATTATAACTAGTTTGAAACGTCAATATGACGGAATGCAGGCTTGGATTTCAAGCGAATTAATCTGTCTATACTAGTAATTATATTTGATCGTTCCACACAGTGATGGACGCCTGTATTGTGATGCTTTGACGTCGCGCTCTCTGAAACTGATAGTTACCAATTTGTTGTTGTATATCCGATATTATGTGGTCGCTAGTCTGACACATATATTGTGGATAATAAACTTATTTTAAGTTTATGAGGTAGGTATGGGTATGATTGGAGATCACGTAATTTTCGAAAACTGTGCCAGGTAAACACAAAAAAGTAAAAAAGGAAAACATGCTTAAAATTACTGTTTTATTTCTACAATCATTTGGATAAAATATACATATCATATACAATCGATGTCTACATAACAACGCAAGCCTCCGTGTCCATAACTAGGAAAAGACTCACCCAATACCAAAATTGACCTTGTGAAAATTTCTTGGCAAGCTCGCGCTACGAAACCTAGGTCCCAATCGCAAGAGAAAAAATACACTGTACATAATTATAATAATTTATATATAATTATATATCTAAATAAAACATGATTATGTCTCAACGTTGTTACAAATACATATCGCCTTAACCAATTTTGATCTCAGATTTAATTACATAATTTTGTGCCAATTGTGTTTGTTGATATTCCTTACGAAATATCAAAACCAAAAACAATGAGTGGATGGTGAGGGAGCGAATAAAATTAGACAAACATGTAAAAGAAATCTGTTTACTGAAAAATGTACATCCCTAACCACGACAATAACACATTATATTTCGGTATTACAATAATTTATTTTTGAATAAACAATGGCGAGTTTATAACTCTTATGGATGCAATGTTTCCGTAAAATATAACAAAAATTATATTAATAATTATGTTTCAGATGAACGAAGCTTTAAGTTTGTTTATGTGATTGATGATGTTTATTTGCACAGCCCGAAACTAAATAATTAACTTTACATGTACTGCCCCTTATCGATCATTGCAACTGGTCTCGAACAGTCACGACTTTGCGACCTCTATAGCATCAAACTAGCCATTAATTGACTTCGAAATTAAGTTACCTAAGCAACACTATTTTCTAAAGTTAATATTGTAGACTTTAGAAAATATTTTAATTTCAGTGTAAACCAATAAGCTATTAAATTGACTAGAAAAACCAAGAAATATCATTCCTTTAGAGAAAATATTATTTTAATCAGTCTTTGATACACAAAGCGCAGATTCCCTGTGGTCGGTCGCTAGGCATATACGTTGTGTGCTATCCTAGAATATTAATTAGGATAAACATGGCACATACTCGACTGTAATTAATTCTCTCGAAGCAAAAAAAGAAAACAGACCTGATTCAAAGCGACATTTTCATCTGCAAGTAGCCAAGTTTATATTTTATTTACATATTTCATGTATCTTTCAACCTCACCCCAGATCTCAAACAATACGGAAACAAATTGAATTTGCATCACAAAAAGAACTCGTCCAATCTGAATCGGAAATAATGTCACTCGATTTTCAACGTTTTCTCTGTTCAAACAGTACCGTGATGGAAAGTTTTCCTTTACACTTTGCCGGACAGGTATAATTGAAACGCCAATTTATCAGTTCACTGCAGTTATCGATAATTGTATTCAAATAACTTTGTTTACTTTGTGCATATCTTAACAACTGAAAGGTTAATTATTGAAATAAATAAGTAATCTAGATCATAAATAATATTTCTAGATTTTTTGGTCGTAAATCTTATTAGATAGCAATTAGACAATATTTTTTACGTAATTTCTGTACTTTTTTTTTTGATAAATCATGTCCCTAAAAGTATCGTAACGTACGGATTATGAATTTTGAAGGTATTATGTACGACACGATTTTAAAAACAATTGGGAAATTAATACTCCATCTAAACGTATCACATTATCCTATTATAAATCCTATTATGAAATATGTAATTAGTGGTTTTAATCCATTAGCAGCTTCCAGGCTTTAAGCAGTATATTGCCAATTAATATCGGCTTCAGTCGGGATTTATTAGCGCGGAAACTTAAATTTTTACTCCGAAAGGTATTCGTAACGTGTGTAATTTGTTTGTTCAGAACGTTTTATTTAACGATGTGTATAATTGTTAAATTACGTGCACATTCACGTAGCCGACGATAAAAATAAAAACTGCTCGTATTTATAGGATACTTTGGTGCAATGACCTCGCAAAATATAACAATAAGTAATAAAGCTAGAATTGCAACAATTGCACACAGTAGGTACTCGCGACAAAGAGCTACTATCAAGTCATTTCATCCCGGCGTGCATCACGTTGCTTCCCAGCCTCCTTTGTCAGACGCACCGCTGTAATTTTGCAATCATATTCAATTGCACCGATAACAGGTTCACAATACAATTAATCCGAAGCAGGATGTTATATTACATTCGACACGGACTTTGAACAATTCACACAAGAACTTTGATTCGATATAGAAGTAGAGACGAGCTAGTTTCAGACGTTTATTCAGAAATACGATTCATGCATTTTCTTTAGACGTATTTCAAAGAATATCAATGGAATTTTAGAGAAGGAAGCCGAAGCTATTTAGAGATTACTTTGAGCATGGCTTGTATTGTATTAAAATAAAATCTTATGTGAATCGATTTATCTCTTATATGACTATGGATTCTAATTTATCGTAGACTACAATAACTACATTGGTTACCTCAAACTAACGAAGACTAAAAGAAGAATCGACGTTACCACTTCCACCTAATCAAATCAAATTAATGGTGCTTTCATTAGCACTTCAATATTTAAATATATAATTGCATTGTATATGAATTTTATGATGAGACAAACAATAAAATAATATTCAATTCGATATAAGTACCATAAATGATACATCGCAAACAGTTTTGTTTCGATTTATAAACAAAATAATGAATTAAATTAAATACTTGTGACCTCGCCTCTGGTCGGTGTTACACCTATTAATCTTATTGAAACTAAGCGAAACGGGAATGCAACGTTATAATATATTATGTCCACACGTTCCTTTACCCGGCAACCGGAACGTGTGAAAGGGCAGTAACGGGCATAATAACAGTCTAACCCAGGTAACCCTGTCAATTAGTTATATTGGTTGTTACGTTATAATAACTCAATGTGATGCTTCGTCATTCGTGAAAGAATTTCAGACAACACATGACAAGATTTTTGTAAGTAAATGCCGTTAGTGCACACACAGCCGAAACATTTAAATAAAGATTGATTTTGGTATAGATCCTTTTTTGTAGTATTTTTTTTAAGGGGGGAAAATCATCGAATGACTGCTCTCGCCTGGGTGAGGCGGGAGGGAGTGTCAGACTCTTACTGACTATAAACCACCCCGTTCCTTCTCCTGCACGTCGAGCCGGAGCCCCGGTAACCCGTTAGGTTCTCAGGGCGGCAAAAGCAAGCGTTATTTCACGCCGCCTTTTTGTGAGCCCGTGTGCATAAGGTTGAGTCGTTCCATACGCATCGAAGCATCGCACAACCAAAATAAAATTTCTGTCAAAATCTGGTTAGATCGAAAATTTGCATAAAAATTTATTTAGTTAAGTTTATTAATTGCGTATGTCTTCGTATGCAGTAGTTCTCAATATTAACATTACAGCATGTTATATCGATTACCTACTTAAACTTTCAGACTGAGCTAGTCGAAAAATGTGCTTCATATAATATTCCATAGTATAGTGAAACTGAAGCTTTGCTGATACAGTAACATATTTTTTTATGTTAAAACACTGGGAGAAGTTCCGTGATAAAAAATATGGAAGTTTTTTACATTCATTCATATTAATCCAATCACTTTGTTTGATAGCGCTTCGCTATGTCAATTAGCATAAATCGTAAACAAATCCAAAAGGATTAATACAGCATATTACTCGCTGACAACAAATTGAATCCGGCTTTGTGTGTAACAGCAGCTTACCATTTCATTAAAAATATATTTCAGTGAGATAAATAGTGTTTTCACGATTCCTAACAACTCGTACTTTCGAATAAATGCTATTTAATACTAATGTGAAAATTACTGAGCCCCACACCTCAATTTCAGTAGTGTTTAACCGAATTTAAATATAGCCCGACATTCCATATTGAATTAATAAATAATGTTATATTTACTGAATAGCCACTAACACCTATTTATTTACTTTACACAAATATTATGGAGTATATTAATTTCTACATTAAACTTTGTTTATCAAATAATCCGACACTTATAAAATTTTGATCAATCCCAAAATCGAACCATAAATATATGCTATGCTAGTTCTGTGATATGACAGCGACAGAGCCATTTTTAAACAATTCCGCAGAGAATAGTAAAATTTTGCTCCAATTTCCAGCATCTAGACTTTAATTTTACTGACCTGAAAATAGAGATTTTGTTAATCTACCGAATAAAATATTCAAAATAGCTGTTTGGAAGTTAGCAAATGGTATTTTCGTTTCTTTAATATTTGAAACGATATTCAACATTTACATATTATATTGAGCAATCTACTTAGTTCATCTATTGTACATTGGTTCGGAAATTGGATCGTAACATACGACAACATAATTGTTCATTATGTGCGTAATAAGAGCATCTTGCGAAGTCTCGCTTAGATCGTAATTTGAGCTAAATGTAATTAAGATCGCATCGCTTTGTCGCATTCAGTAAATACAGACTAAGACTAAATTAGTATTAAACTAGACTCATCTGCCTTGTTGACTACTTAAATTGTAACTGTCGAACAAAAATACTTTGGTTTCGATTCTCCGATTATACAAGCAATTATCGTGTATTCGATTTCGCAATACCAAACTAGAATACCGGTTTCTGTATGACCTGATAGTATCGTCTGCATATCGGGAAAGTCGCATTCGACTTTTATTACAATTAGATCGTAATTGTCGTATCGATGGATACGACGAACCAAAGACGGTAGGTTTTACAATAAAAATGTCTTGATTTGCTTTTTAGCAAATACGTAATACGTTAATATGGCCCAAATATTTTCAAGCAATTAATTTAGCAATTTAGCTTTTTCAAATGACCACATGAAGAAGGAAGAATATGTAGTGTAGGTACATGAGAAATAAGTATAGAAAGCATACCCCAAAGCCCAAAATTAGCATGAAGACTACTTGTAGAAATAGGTAAATAAATTATTCAATACCGAATATAATGTTTGTTTCAATGATATTACGAGTGAAACGAAATTCATTTTTCAGCATATCCAGATTGAACAGGACTCTACAAAGTAGCATGAGTGTTAATTGGAATTATGAAATATTAGACACAAAATTATTATTAGTAATATGAAATGGAAGTAACGTACTTGGAACCGAGCGACCGGCACTTCCGATGTGTGGGGATAAACTTGCCCTGGTGACAAGAGCCCTGGAGACGCAGCGAGCCGGAGCCTACTTTGTGTGAAGGTGATATGTTAGTGGTATTTGAAGCTCCCGAAGCGATTACTTCTTTGACTGACTCCTTGGAACCAGCGCAGCTCCCGACCGGCGAAGGTGGCTCTAATTTTAACGATAATCTGAAATAAAATTCCATATTAGTATCTTTCAGCGCATTTTTTTATAAAATAAAAACTTTTAAAATTTCCGAATCAAACATTTAAACGAACCGAATTCCATCGCGAAATTTTGCCCAACTTAGCTTAAATAATATGAAATAAATTCGCAAGTGAAAAAGAAATGGAGCGCATAAAAACAGCAAAATATAAAAAATAAAATCGCACCAGCATTTTGCGCAAATAAAACAAAAAAAGAAAAGAAAGAAGAATATGAATGAATGAATTTTTGCTGAAGGCTTACCCTTGGAAGTAGTAAGCGCACACGTTTGGACCTTACGGGTGCAGGATTAGCTACTAACTGGGATCGAAGAATAGCAAACAAGTGCCGTGATTGCAGTTGAAGCGAGGCTCGGCTAACAGAATTATGTTCTTGTGTGTAATTCTAGAATATGAAGATTGACGGATGCATTGCTGGGGCACAGTAATTGGCCGTCGCTCTGTGAACGGCTACAGCTCCAGATGCATATGAATGCATTGTTAAACCCTTTGTGGTCTGATGTTCTGGTACATTCTATGCACATTCAATTTTAATGCCAATATATTTTACCCTTTCGACACATCAAAATTTTTATCGCAAAATTTAAATGATACTCAGCTTTTATGAAATTTTCACAAAGTATAACTAATTTAGGTACCACTTATGGTAGGTAATACTTAGGTTTCGCAAGCTTAATATTATGCACCCAATCAGAAGAAGGAATGTTTCCCTAATGATGGCGCAATCAAATACAGTCGGAGCATCCGGAACTCTGTTACTAATGGAACCCCAGCAACATTGCGTTACTACTTCGCGCTGTATCTACCTTATATAAATAAGAATGAGAGTGCGGTAGGTCCCGGGTCGAGCCGGTCCATTCAAGTTGGTTTTAGTTAAGCAGAGGGTAGATACAAATATATATATACATACTACATATACATATATCAATGTAACGTTCAGTTTTTGTCACGTAACGTCAAGTTATACTTAAACATGACAATAAAGAACCGAGTATTTTATTGTGCACAGTATACAACTTCAGATTCTGTTTTACTGCAAGTTTTTTTTTATATCGGAAGCCTATTCTTGTCTGCCTGATCTGAGATAGGAATATTCCCCACATTAAATTCCATCTCAATTGAACTCCATAACAACTTACGGCCAAAATTAAACTTCATCTCAATTGAAAACCTGTATAATTTTGACATTAATTTCTGTCAAAAATTGATTTAATTATCATAATCATGTCTGTGGGCACTCCCAATGTTGAGCAAAGCCTCTTCTCTTCCCACACGGTGTAGGTTTGAGCGTTAATCACCATACTTGCTATGCAATACAGGTTAGGAATTATAAATTATAAGCCTTTTTTTTTTTTTTTTGAGGGGGGAAAATCATCCAATGACTTCTCCCGCCTGGGTGAGGCGGGAGGGAGTGTCAGACTCTTACTGACTAAAAACCACCCCGTTCCTACTCCTGCACTTCGAGCCGGAGCCCCGGCAACCCGTTAAGTCTTCCGCGGCTCCGTATCGGCATCAGCCTTGTTAGGCCCCATCTGTGGTGGTCTGATGGCTCCTTGAGGCGCGCGCGGAACGCGACGCGCCGTACGCTCGGGCCTGGTTCTGGTCGGGCGGCGAGTCACCCATGCTCGCCGTCCGCAGGCCCGTGCTTACGGTGGCCGGAGATCGTCTCGCGATCCCCGACGCCCGGAGTGTCTCTCGCGACGACCGGGTCGTGAGGAGGTTCGTTCCCTCACGCGCTCCGCCTCCTCCTTAGCTAGCATGACTGCTTCGCAGAAGGAGGAGACGGCATCCCAGTCCCCCTCGCTCCGTACCATGGTCTGAACCAGAGCCGGACGCGAGAGGTCGCCGTCGCCGATCACATTTCTGAGGACACGGCGGTGCTCAGTCCACGCAGGACACACCGCCACCGTATGCTCCACCGTGTCCTCCGGGCGATCCTCGCAGTGATGACACCCGGGCGTTTCCTCCCGCCCAATCCGAAACAGGAACCTACCGAAACTTCCGTGTCCGGTAAGCACCTGCGTCAGGCGGTAGGTGAGGACGCCGTAGCGTCTCTCAAGCCACTCCTCAAAGAGGGGACTTACCGCTGCAATGACAGCGAGCCCAGCCTTCGGTTGCGACAGTCGTTGCTGCCATTCCGCCATGAGATCACGCCGGAGCTCATCCCGCCACGCATTAATCTGGCGCGGCAGCGGAGTTTCGCCCCGGCGACGTGCCTCCGCGCGCAAATAAATTATAAGCCTAGGTTTGCTCATGACGTTTTCCTTTATTATGTCACTGGTGTCTAAATAATCTTAAGTCGGAAAGATGACATTGCTACTTGCGAGGATTCGAACCCGCGCCTCATGAATGAAAAGCGGGCATCAAACCTCCGGACCACCGCGACGTATCGAACTTAATGTAGTCCTACAAAATCTCTGAGCATCAGTTCACATTTATTTTATCACAAACGTTAGTAATTATACTAAAGAGAGTATACTTACTAATGCCATCTAGTTCACTTTCTGAAACTAATTTACGCGCGCGAAACTTACATAACTTTGTTAACTTGTTCCGACAGTGTAAAGCTATTTAGTGTTAAATTAATAACATTTAATACTTCACTTGTAATTTTCTAGATATGTGAGCAGAGGTGTATTTTTTTACATAACGTTGCCCCACACTAGACCCGAAACAACAATTTGTTGATCACATAAATAGTTGTCCCGTGAGGGAATCGAACCCGCAACACGTTGCGCGGCAGCTTGTTGCGCAGCCACCGCACCAACCGTGAAGTCATTTATTTAGTATTTCGATTATAACATATTTCCCCGTTTTAACAGCCCTTACTAGCAGTTATGATAATAATGACATGGCGGTTGAGTGGAATGCATTTGTCACAAGACCTATTCTTCCAGCGGGTGTGACCGAGTGACTATTAGTACTTAGTAGACGTACTGATATTTGACAGCACTCTATAAACAAACCTGAACCTTTCATACTACGTCCTCAAACCCGCCTGTCAAGCGTAAAGACTATGACAAACCCTCATACGATGCACATACAACAGGATAGACTTCAGTAATGGGGGTTTACTCTTGAATTCAATTCCGATCGATCGACATTGGTATTACGATATTCCGTACTTTTGAGTTGCAACACTAGTGCCCATTGTATCCGTATTGCGTGGATATTTAATAAACGAAATGGTGTTGTATAGTTTTGACATTGAATAATTATTGAGATTTTATTGCATTGACATTGAGATTGGTTTCAAGAGTAAGCACCCTGGACTATGTCTATGCATATAAACATGAAACCGGTTTCCCGTTGTCACACCATAACTTGAGAACCGATTTGGCTGATTTTTTTTTTGTGTCTATTATTGTCAGGACTTTTTCTGTCCTGAAAATCCTACGGGAATGTTAGAAAACGAGATTGCGCGTACGAAGTCGCTGACAGAAGCCAGTATATAAATAAAAATGAATAGCCGTTCGTTAGTCACTCTAAAATTTGAGATTGGCTAAACCGAATTGGCTAATTTTGGTGTTGAAATGTTCGTAGAAGTCCAAGGAAGGTTCAAAGGTGAGAAAAAATGTTTGGATGTACATAGTTTGCCGGGTCAATTAGTGACGAATATTTTCCGCCATGTCGGAGTGGTACGTTTACTTATGTACCGTAACGTATACGTGAAGTTATAAAAATACCATAAAACGTGTCATATTATCAATCTTCCTGTATATTGCGCTAATACTGATAATTTAAAATAGCACAATAAAGGTCACAATGCATCATATTGATGATGAAGGACTTTACATTTTTTTAATGGAACATGATCAATGTGATATTTTTTTTGCCATGGCGGTGGCATTAACAGCACACGGCCCACCTGATAGTAAGAGGTTAACCATGTTACCATGGTATATGATCGCTTGCAACACTTGGGGTATTTACACCCTGCCGACCCTTGAAAAACCTATTTACTGTCTTGAAGAACCCCGTGCTGTAGCCTACTGGAAAAACCTCGGCAGGGAGTTCATTCTACAATCCACATTCGTAGGGTTAGGATGAAAGATAATCATGGACTAACGATGTAAATATTAATAGCAGTTTAAGTGTTCAATCCCAAAGCGATCACAGGTGACCGCTCTCCACTAACAACCATCGTAGTATTTCCGATATTTAGAGACTACTTTAGTACGAACAAATTTCGAAAATTTCGGTACGATATATCAACGTATTAAAGAGTTTCAGTCAAATGTCTAGTCCCTTAGTGAGCCTTTATGATATCCGACGGAAGAGTAGAAGTGGTGATGGTGACAAATATATTCTACCCTGCTGTTACCACACAGCTTTCGTTAAATTAAAAACCTCGCAAACTATGACAGAACTTATTATCAAATTATAAATTAAAATGAGATAAGATAAAACCTTTTTTTATTTAAACGACCCAATAGATATTGTTCTAAGGAATCCTAATTATTAAAATCAGATACAAAAAGCAACATTATCATCGCATCATATTAAAGCATAACAAAAGTAAAAGCAAAACAAGCTAAAAATTGTATTCGTACACAACACGAAACAGTGACACGACTGGTTAAATTTGAGACGACTAACGCCATCTAGTAACGTTTATGGAAACTAAAAGTTTCTGAAACTCGTTTCTGGGCATAACTTCTATGTGGACAACATAGTATTTATGTTATAAAATAGTCAATTATTTACCAATCCCTTTTTTCTGGAGATACGGTATCAATAAAATATCAAAATCTACGCAACAGCAGCGGCTTTAAAGATTATATTAACAAAAGTACGAAACGCGTAACAAATATTAAAATCATCTCATACGAAAAAATAGAGCGATACTATACAAATTACAAAACTCTGCAGACGTCTGGCCACAAACAAGAAATATGACAAACTCCCATATCTATTACATACTCCAAAAAGGCGGGTCTTGTATTTGACAGGTTGCATTTTTCTTTTTATCAAAAAAAATAAAGATATGTTGATTCAAACTTGGTGTTTTTTTTTTTACATTTTGCCACTACATTATTTGTCATACTGTAATGTTTTCTAATTTATAACTTATTATAATAATAGAGCAGGTTAACCTATCGCCAAGACAGGACAAACTTTCACTTTGTACTATCATTAAGAGGTTTTGAGAAACTAATAAGTAAAAAAAAATTAATTAATGTCCTCTCAACACTTATGGCCCATTCCACAATGCCTGGATTACCACTAACCTAACCATAATTATAGGGTACTTAAAAGAGGGTGGCCAAACTGGTCTTTAACGTTTGTAGTTTTCTAGTTTCATATTTGCAAGCTTTATTTATTAATATAATTCCTTTACCCCTCTATTTTTTCGCGTCGAATATGGTTTTAACATGCATAAATAGAATAAAACACTTACTTGTACTGATCATCTTCTAGAAATTTCTGTAACTCTTCGATATAGCGGACACTGTTCAGGTAGTTCGCTACGTGGGGTAGAGGCAGGATATCATACTCCGAAGTCTGGTACTTCTCCAGCGCTTTCAGCACGACTGCCATCTTAGCCACGCGGTGGGGTGAATCCGGGGGGTGCGCGATATCAATATACACGAGATCCGTCAGGAATATACCTGTTGAAGAAAAAGTAATCATTAGAGCTTGAACTATAGGTATCTTATACAAAAAAGGGATTTGTCATATAAAGTCCATGGTTGGCAAGCAAACGGAAACACACCACTGTCTAGTCTCAGTTGAGTCCCTTAATCCATTCTTAACGACACTCGTGGGATGAATAGGAATGGTGAAAAAATACATATGGACACATATTGCCATAATTAACTTTTAAACTGCCTCCGTGAGAGTGCTCAGCAGTGCGACTAACACGAAGCCTGTTATCGTGCCCGGCATATGGCAATAGGCTCACACCCTATTACATGGGACTCATAACATAAATAGTGAAAAGTGGGTGTTACATTGTACAGTGGCATCATGTGCACCTCTGGTTACTTCGGGGATAAGAGTCACGTAATGTGATGTGTTATGTGTTTACTTTTAAATATATCTATTGGAAAGAAAGTTATAAGAAAGAAAAGAATAAGAAGTAAGAATAGGTAATTGATCTTGAAAGTATAATATAATAAGAATTCTTTTGTTTTTTTGTTTGAACGCGCTGTCTCATGGTCCACTGGTTCAAATTTAAAAAATATATTTGTGTTAAATAGTCCATTTATAGAGGAAGGTTTTATAGGCTACAAAACATTACGCTACGATCAATAGGAGTCGAGCAGGTGAACCCGCGCGGCAGTAGCTAGATAAAAAATAATGAGACAATACACAATCCAAAAATATACCCCACCACGATAAAACTGGCCGTATCATGGGCAGAATTTCGAGACTTCTTTCTTTATTTTGTTTAACAATAGTTTTGTTATTTAACAAAAACCTTACATTACTCCCCAAAGGTGAAACAATTATATAAGTCCTATTTTTATCGTTTATGTAACGACTCCTACATAACAGATGGTGACTCGTTGTTATGAATCATGGAATTGAAAACTGTTATGTAAAACAATTCTTCGTCCGACTGTTATTTAAAATAATATGTATAGGAAAGAGTACTATTTTTATTAGCAGCGATATCTTACAATAAACCTTTGGATGGTGCTTAATATAACGATTATCCTACTAGTCACACAAATAGTGTGATTTGTGTTAGCGTCTGTAGGGAAATGGCGACACGTTGAGGAGTAACCAGTTGCCCAGGCATTGTTTACTTAAACAATATAATACCTCGTGTGTTCATAAGTTTTGAGACATAGTTTTTGCTTATAAAAATAAAATAAAAATTACTGGCTGCTGTATTATTCTTTTTCTAATTTTGAATTTGGAATGTTAACTTTTAATATCTATGATTTCGGATTATTTTATTTAAATTTTCTCGTAATGGAGGGAACAAAAGAATTACGTGCGACCGTCATTTCATTATTTAAGGTGGGAAGAAAACCTATGGACATTTTCCGAGAACTAAAAAGTTTTGGTGTGAGCCGTAACTTCGTGTATTACACTATTAAACGATACCAGGAGACAAGTTCTTTACATGATCGACAAAGAAGTGGTCGTCCACGCTCTGTGAGGACGCCTGCGAACATTAAAATCATCCGAGAGCGACTTCGCCGAAATCCATGTCGCACTCAGAAGAAACTCGCTCTGCAAACCAATATTTCGCGCGTTTCAGTCAACAGAATACTGAAATATGATCTCAAGGTTAACCTTTTGAACGCCAGAGCAAAAACACATGAACCTGCCCTCAACGCCAAGCCACAAATTCCGCGCAAATTTCTACGGAAGAAATAGGGATTCCAATAGGGAATCAAATTGTTGATTTCGTGTTTCCGGTTCCGCTTTTTCTGTCATGTATTTGTGTCGTTGGCGTCCAGGGACAGTTTTCACTTGTCACTTATATTATTATGTGACATCGGCGCTCAAAAGGTTAAGGCGTATAGCCGTAGAAAAGTACACTTTTTAAACGATCGCCTTCGTCAATTGCGACGCGAACGTTGTCCAATACTGCTTAGGAGACACGATGCGAGAAAGATACTCTTCACCGACGAGAAAATATGACAGTAACAAAATTATGACAGTAATGCTCACCCCGTTTAGTAAGAAACTCTAATGAATCACAACGGCGCTAGACCACCAAACAGTGACCATCACTTTTCTAGGGGTAAGTTTTCGTTTAGGGCATTGTTTGGGTGCTGAACTAGGATCCAACCAAATTGCCGAGCGCTTGCGGTTATCAAACATAATCAATTTTTCATTGCAGGCAACAATGCGGTTCAAAATTCCTTCATTTGTGTATCTGTTCAGCAGTGCAACGCACGTTTCCGATCATTGAGTTCGTGGGGCACCTATTTTACCTTGCCAATTTGACGTAAATGAACCAATACTGTTTTGACGCTAACGACCAAAGCTACTGCTAATTCAGCTGTAGATTTTGTATCATCAGCTTCCACAATCGCATTTAATTCGTCATTGCCGATCAGTCTTCGGATGTACGCGGTCCGCGAGGTTCATTATTCAGGTTGAAATTTCCAGAACGGAAGCGAGCAAACCAATAACAGGTGGTGCGTTGGTTTGTAGTGTTAGGTCCGTAAACGTCGGTGATCTGGTGTGCCGCTTGTGCCGCGTTGCTACCACGACAGTATCTACTTATCCTTACTAATATTATAAATCTGAAAGTGAGTTTGTTTGTTTGTTTGTTTGTTTGTTCCACCTTCACGCCGTAACTACTCAACCGATTGCTTTGAATTTTTGCAGACGTAAAGTTAGAAGTCCGGATTAAATAATAGGGTACTTTTTAACCCGGAAAAAATTGATATTCCCAAGGAAAAACAAAAGTATTGGTATAGATGGCGCTGTGTGTATTGGTATATGTCACATAGGCTACTTTTTATACTTTTGTGACGCGAGCGAAGCCGCGGGTAAAAGCTAGTATTCCATAATTACACTAAGTTTTATCTATGATGACGAAAAAGATTGAAATGCGATGAAAATGTAAAACTTATTTTTATTAATAAGTGATATAAAATGATAAGGGCTTAAAAACAAAATAATTAGAAAAGTGGTCCATGTTTTTTTAAATAATATTAATTTGAAATTAGAATTTTTAGCCAAACAAAAATCATTTTGATTTGAAATGGCCAGTACTGCACAACGGCAATTTCATACGTAAAGACCTAATATTATGTAAATCTGAAGAGGTTGTTTGTTTGAATGCGTTAATGTCTAAAACTCCTGGTCCGATGTGAATAATTCTTTTTGTATTGGGCAGTGCATTTATTGCGGAAGGCTACCAATAAGAGCAGAGCAGCGAATGAAAACCGCGTGACAGTAGTTATAGTGATTACATAAATACTTATTTGCTTATGAACTTATGTCGCTTTCCGGTATTGAAACTATTTGTTTATAAGTACTCACACATTGTTATCACAATTTAAACTAATACTTTGTGATTCGTTCGGTAGCTTATCGAGTCGCTTACTATCAAAACTGACCCTAATAAACAGATAAAGAGATATTGTTCTTTCTAAATTCAGTATGGCAGATAGTAGTTATCTACAAATTGTAGAACTAGCCTTAACTAATATAAAATAGATGCAACAGATGCTACAAAAAACAAGTCATTATAAACTGCTTAAATATAAAATAAGAATTAACTAGATAAAGTAATGTACAAAATTACTAAAGCCTTAGCCTAGATAACTAAAAAAACGCGTTCAAAATGTCCGAAGAATTCAACTTAGTAAAGTTGTAATTACAAAAGTAACATTAAAACATGAAAATAAGATTGTAATACAGTTGCGTGGCAATCATAGACTGTTTTGTCACGAAAAAAAAAATACTGTTTGATAAGTAATTTGCGTTCGCTATTTGCGCAGTTACATGTAAATACAGGATGTAAACGGAACACTCCCGAAAACGCAGACAGGTGATAGTAAAAAACGAGTTTTATTTAAAAAATGTAAGGAATTAAATGTTTATTTTATGTAGTAATAGTTGGAATCAACTGCTCAAGGCTGCAAGGCTGATGTTGCATGAATAACACAAAAGCAAAAACGATTAAAATTGTCTGCGTTTTCGGTAATATTGTTCTTTTTACACCCTGTACATCTCATGTACACACGGCACATTGGGCTATACAAAACGAGTCTATCAAGATCTCGTTAATCAAGACCTCGTAATCTCTTATAGAAACTCCTTCAAAATATCAGCAGACTGTCTTAAGCCTAATTGAATCAATATTCTTACATAATAAACAATTCAGCAATCTCATAAATTCATTATTATTAGATATAGATCAATAAGAGCTCAAGGCTAAGTAACGGTCGAAATATTCGTAGCCATCGCTACCTTGATTGTAACTTGGTTGAACTTGACCAGGCTGGAATATATGACTTTGAACTTGAACAAATTATAATAATATACATTAGGTAAGTATGTGTGTGTCAGGTGTTGTATAACGTGACCAGACGTCTCGTATTGAACGCAACTGTCCCTTTTATAATTAAGAGTCCCTTTGTCGTCGAAATTAACTGTGAGACGCTAAAATGTCCCGTTTTCGGAAACCACGCGAAAATATGAATAGTCGAAACTATGCGACGACCGTTCAGACGGCTCGAATGGTATCCGCGAGCGATACAGCGTCATACATACTCGCAAATTTTTGGCGAAGTACAGTAAAAAAAAACTTTATGTACCTACATTTATATGCAGTTAGTAATAAGTACCATTACTTTACCCTCTTGTTGAAGTTTATATAATAGGATCTAGCTACTAGATACCTGACTAAAACTAAATAATCAAACGCCCCGTTTTGAATCAATAAATAAGTAGCCACGTTCGACTTGTACCAATATTGTTCGTAGTGCGAGCATAAGCACTTTTTTTAGGGGGGAAATGCTTCCGCCTTGGGTTAGGAGAGAGGGAGTGTGTCTGACACTCCCTCTTACTGACTAAAAACCACCCCGTTCCTACTCCTGCTCTTCGAGCCGGAGCCCTGGCAACCCGTTAGGCCTTCCGCGGCTCCGTATGAGGACAAATACTAAGAACGCCAAGTGGTCGATTTAGAAGTCACAGTCACGGGGAGGGTTATGTTCAGCAGTTTGGTTGATAAATATGATGATGATGAACTAATCTATGTGCGAAAAACTAAAGACATATTTTAGATATAGGTACATAACGTCGATTCGTTGGTACCACGCTCAAAACTGTAGAGTAACACCTGGGTCATAACAAGTACAAGAAATTTCTCAGAAACACGTGGGCTGCTGAGGTATCATGTTACATACATGAATATATGTATATCAAAACAGTGAATCCCTGATCGCCTATAGCCTTTTAGCGAAGTTTTATTTCTGCAATAGCAAAACTTTGTCGCCTATCGTAAAGACTTACATGAATCGATAAATTGTGAGAACTGTGTCAATCGATTTGAGAGAATACTGTTATTAATAGGCGAGCTTGTCCTTCAAGTCAAGGTATCTTGTGCAATTCTACCCCCACAGATAAAACCTTTACTAAAACATATCATGTATCTAAACATACCAGCTATCCCCGCGGGGTTTCGCCCACTCTCCTAGTCTCCTCGGATCCTATTGATTGTAGCTTGATATTTTATAACCTAAACCCTTATTCAATCAATTGACTATGCAATTCAAACCAGTAGTTCCAGTGCGTCCAAACAAACACACTCTTCAGATTTATAACAAAAGGTATAGTTTACTATGGACTATTTCTGTAGGACTACGGAAGAGAGTTCAATTGCTGATTTGAAATTTTATGTTTTATGTCTGGATTCCTTACCTAGATATGGTATACATGGCAAAGGAATACATCTTAAATAGTCTCTCAGTGCAGTCCAGTTGTCCTTTTCACCAAATAACTCCGCGAGTTTATCGAACTGTTGTTTATCCTTTTTAGATAAACACGCCCACGTTTTTGATAGCCTGTAAATGAACAAAGTTAAAATTATTCAAAGTACTAAATACTCACTATTCTTTAGGAAAATCATTATTATGTTTAGTTAGTTACCTATTCTAATTATTATCATTACTATTAAATTATACTCGTATTTCCTCACCTGTATATACTGGCACTATGTAACGCGGAGATAACAGCGAATAGAGAGTGCAAATTGTTCAGTTCATGAAGCTTTTTTCCTACTTTTATAAAGTGCGCCAATATTTCGGCTCGTGCCTTTGGCGACTGCCCATTCAATATTTCCTGTACAGTCCAAAAACTAACCTGGGAATAAAAATATTTATATATTATTAGAAATCGTTGTTGACTTTTAATATGATTGTTTCAATGTCATGACTTCATACATAGGAAGTAGTATGCTTATCGCTACTGATTTTGCGCAGCAGCAGCGAAACTGAATGAATACTGTTTTATTATTGAACTATAACTACCCGTTCACTGGCCCTAAACCTAAACATCTTGCATTAGGAGACGACTTAGAATAAAAAGACTGGCTTTACTCATTTCATTTCGCACATATTATACATAATTTAAATCCTTAAGTCTTCCTACAATAAGTGGTTCTAGACTAAAGGATATGAACTATTCAGTCGCGGAAATCGCAATCATCAATTACTTTAACTTGTAGCTTCTTAGCGATGTTGGAATGCCCTCTAGTTGAGGTCACTTATTGTGATTCTTATCATTTGTAATGATCACTTATGAACAATGTTGGACACCTATTTAAATATACTTCCTGAGATTCATTTAATGGGAAAGATTACCATTAAAAAAAAGGATAGAGTCGCATAGCTCTTGAAAAAATTAAGTACTTACCCTGTTAAATCGTTTCGTAAATGCTACCACATTGGGTGCAACCGTCAACTTGTTCAATTTGTTCCATCCACACGTAGTTAATTCTTCTGGTCTGATAGACTTAAAACAAGGCAAATCAAGCAGAGTGAGTTGATTAGCAATGTCTTCAGGTGTGATTCGCAGTGCAGAGCAGACAATTTCATCCCAGGATTGGTTGATTGATGAAGCAGGTGGCAGACTGCTCGTTTTGTACTGGTACACAGGATCATGTTGCCTGCCATTTCCGCTGTCACCATGGCTGTAGAGGAATATTTTATTACATTCAGCTCTCAAGTTCACAATCATTATTGTGCCTGATGTATAGCAATATATCATGGGATTCATAACATAACTGGTAAAGAGTGGGTGCAGTGTAATGTACCTCCTCCAACTCCTTCAAGGATTAAAAGACATGAATGACAAGATGATGAACTTATGTAATAATTTTAATTATTTTATATAGTATCACATAGTGTCTCTCACTAGTTTATTTTTATAAAAGGGAAAGAGTTGGAAATTATCAAGTAATAGTGATTACATGCAACACAAAAGGTCACTTGTGATAAAATTATCTTTTGTTCCTATACCCTATGTACTCTCAGTTTCAACAAAATTATTGCCATCCGTCCACTACATTTGTTTTGAATTATTAGTGGACTGCATCAGTAGTAGCATAAATATTGTCACTTTCTAATTTATTCTTTTGGTACACCTGCTCCAGTCAGCCAGCCTGTTAAATTCTCTATCACAAAAGAAAACAGGTTTATTGAAACTAGTTTGAAGTGGTTTTGTTAAATGTTTTGAAAGTTCTTATCACATTTGCGAATGTTTGTATATGTACCTACTATCTGAAATTCTGAATGGTGTTTAAATTTGAAACAAATGTATGCTATGCTGCATACTATTAGAATAAGTATTTTTGTCATAATGAACAATACAATATCAGCCTGTAAATGTAGTACTGCTGTATAAAGGCCTCTCTTCATTCTATGCAATATGTAATTGGATTGCTGTTGGATATTGTAAAATAATAAATAAGACAAAGACCATTTTGCTACATTGTTAAACAAATATGTGACAGTCTACACCTGGATTAACTGAGCTATCTCTGCACGAGCCTGCCCCAAATCAAACTCGAAACCTCTTGTCTGACATTCGCATTTGTGACTATTCGAACATCGAGGCAGTTGCAGTAATAATAATAGAGTGCTTTTGTCCTAACATGTACTGAATTCATCTATACTAATATAAAGAGGAATAAAAATGAATCATACCCATAATTATAATAACAGGCGCAGTCATCTTTCGTTATAGACTTCTGACTGTTCATAGGAATGTTGGATGATTTTTTATTACTCTGTTTACATGATGGTTTGTTTTCAAGCGGCCAGTTCTCCTCATCTTCATGCTGTAATACGATTACAACATCACATTTGGAAAAAAATAGTGTTAAGTACAAATAAATACTGTTCAGCAAGATATAAACTTCATGTAAGGATAATTATAATATGTATCATAAGTATCATTCATAATTATTAATTATATTTAAACTCTAGGATCAGACTTGAGTACATGACACAGCACATTAAGATAAAATTATAATGATTCCTTTACAAGAGTTCACATCACACACTTGATAATTACCATGATTCTTGTAAAGCTTACATCGCTAGAAGCAATGCTTACATGCAAATGCGATAACAGTTTATACATTATAAAAAAGAAACAATGTTTTCAGCACAGTCCATACAAAAAGCTACTAACAAGATATACTGGAATGTATTAAAGTTTATCAACTTATCAAATGAAATGTTGTTTACACTGTAATAAATAGTAATGAACAGCTGCATAAGCAATGTCTGTACTCTGCACATAATGATGTCATTACAACCACAGTATTTAAAAGCTTCATATCATTAGCTTCTCATGAGAGAACAAACAACATCAAAACCTTATTATCCATTGTAGTCTTTGAAACATTATTTATTATCAATGGATACAAGAAAAGACTTTATGCCAGAGTAATGTGTGTTTTTTATAATATCAAATTGAGCTTTTACGAAAAAATCTGTTCATATTTACTTTTTGCATCCAATGTAGGTAAATAGAGATAATAATAATACAAGCATTTTTCTTAGTATTAATAGTACATTATGTTCAAAGGAGAATGCTGGGACGTATTCTGGAAAACATACTATGTTGTATTGACTAGCATGGATTGATTTAAGCCACTTGCTACATGAAGTCAAGAGATAAACACAATGCACGACTTTATACTGCCACAAAACTCTTTTCTATTTCTTATTGAAATCAGATGTCAGTGATTCTCACTAGATTCCAAGATCCATATTTTCAGAGCGTCACATAGGCAATTTATATATCTTATTAGCAATATAATACTTTGCTTACTAATATCAAATTAGGTACATAACATTATGTAAAACAGTAACAATTAAACTACTGACTAGCGTTCCAATTGGAGCACACCTAAGTGAAGCTACTTTCTATGCACATTCTAGTTTAAAGTAGTAATTTAATTATAATGTATATAATAAATATAAAATAGAACCTTTGGGTTCAATGAGAAATGAATGATCAACAAATGCATATAGTTCAGCAGTGTTTGATGGCAATTACACTGCTTATCGATACTTTTTTTGGTTTCATCAAAAATGTACTGATAAAGTAAAATCTTAGTTAAAATGGAGTAATATAGTCAGTATTTTATTAAGGCGGGCACTCCCAAAACTTCAATTGCATGTTATTAAAGACTATTAAAGAGGTATGTTTCTGTCAATGTGTGAATAGGCAGGCAGTGATTTTGTTCACTAAGAGCATTGACCAGCAGTAAGTTTTGACTTTTCATTTCATCTTCGACAACCTTTCCTACAAAACCAAAGAGTATAAGAATTTCAGTTTCAGAATCAACTGTAAGTACCACTGACAAATGTAGATTGCTTATTTAACACTGCATACATAATTTAATGCCCCTCAACTTCATTAGCACAATGCATGCTAGCATAGAAAACTTTGACAAAAAAACAGAAGCATATAAAATTTAAATGTTCTTTTTCTTAGAAGCACTACTTACAGCGCATTGTTAAAATTAAATATAAGAATATAACTATACCTCAACTATCCTCAAGACAGCTAAACTATCACTCAAAATATCCCGGGGCATGATGGCCTTACTACAGCAGGTACCTACTGTGTTAAAAAAAATGTTATGAAAAATACAGGATCAAAAGACAGTGGAAAAATAATCTGTTTTACCACACAATATTGAGATGTTCAATCCACAGGCATTATTATTTATTGGAAGAAAACAAACAAATTAAATCATACAGCATTGTGTCAAAAAAGTAATCAATGAATTATTTTTACAAAATTAAAATATTATTACTCCGATAAAGGACTCACTGTTCAAGTTATAATCTTTCTATAAAATGAACAAAATTATAAATTAAATTAGCCCTCTGACCTTTAAAATTGGATGTTTGTTTTCTTCATATTTGAATAATGGTTGATGATTAAAATGTTTAAATTTTTACTTACCATTGCATTAGATAGAAGACGAATTACTAAACAAACTATAATCTAATTCATATGCAATATTTAGAAATTGAAATGTGAAATAATAATGGTTACACCAAGAAGGACTATGATATGATACAGAGATACAGATAATAAATGTCATTCAGTTACTACCATAGATGTCTTGTACTTTTCTGTAAAACTATAAAACACAGTAAAACCAGCTTTACAAACGGTAGATAAAAAATTGAATTTACAACAAACGAAAAGATAGAGATTGTAGAGATTTGATGACTTGAAGAATCAAAAAGGGCTTTTAAAAAAAGGTGGACACAGTCTCTTGAAACACCTCTACGAAGGACATCTGTCGCGTGACATGGCCCGTCATTAAGGTCATCGCACACCTAACAAACAGCATAACCCCGGCACGGCTCCAACAGTACAGAAGCTTACGCAACAGTGCGATTCAACTTCGCTGCCGGCGCGCCGACGCCGCGCACACATCTCGGGGGTGACGCGCCGTAGCGAGCTGACGGCTAGCGATAGACAAATTCGAAACAATGCCGTGCCGGAGCCATATACTTACAATAAGCAGACCAAACATTAATTCCTATTTATATGTATATGATATTCACCATTCTTTCTCCTTGTTCTGTCCAGTACCAACCTAATAATGGTGTCTCGTTGTTTTACCTGTAGCCACATTGCTCCACACATAAACAAATAAAGAAATATAAATAAATCGTTTATTAGCGCTTCATGAAATTAACACAGTGACATATAGCCAGTTTTTCGCGTGCGGCCATATTGCTATGTTTACCTACAACTCAATCAATCTCGTTATCCTTTCATCGGTAGGTTTTTATTTAATTATGTGTTTTTAGACTAAACTAATATATATATTTATTAAAAATCAATTGTTTTTATAATGTTCAATCGTTCATACCGAAGTCTCATCCACTATCAAGCTATTTGCGCATACGTTTACTTAGAATATAAACAAATAAAATCAACTTAATTTTTCATTCATGTCAGTTCAAGTACTTGTAGAATCAATAGAGGACGGATTTAGTGTTTTGAAAGGTTAAAATAATAAATATATGTTTTCGTATTAAGTAATAGTTTAGTTACTACAAAGTTGTATAGTCTAAGATACTTGTTTTTTACAATTATAATTATCATAGCTGTTATATTATGTACCCACCCTGTATTAATTTTATTACAACTGCCTATTATCATCAAATAATAGCATCATATACCGGAAATCCCTCCCGAACAAGCCGGGTTCCGGAAAGGCTTTAGCACCATAGACCACATTTATACGCTGCGGCAAGTTATACAGAAGACTGAGGAGTATAACTTGCCACTATGCTTGGCGTTTGTGGACTATGAAAAAGCCTTTGATTCGATCGAGACCTGGGCAGTGCTGCAGTCTCTCCAGCGATACCATATCGACTACAGATGTATCGAGGTGCTAAAGTGTTTGTATAGAAACGCCACCATGCGCATCCGACTCCAGGAAGAGAGTACGGAACCAATCCAATTGCAGAAAGGCGTGAGACAGGGAGACGTGATTTCTCCGAAACTGTTCACCAACGCATTGGAGGACGTTTTCAAGCTTTTAAACTGTAGTGGACTGGGCATCAATATCAATGGCGAATACATCACACACCTCCGCTTCGCCGATGATGTAGTCATCATGGCGGAGTCGCTGGAGGATCTAAACACCATGCTCAGCGACCTCGATATCGTCTCCCAACAGGTGGGTCTGAAATTGAATATGGACAAGACCAAAATCATGTCAAACGTCCATGTTGCACCTGTACCGGTCATCGTTGGGAACGATATCCTCGAAGTTGTAGACCACTATACATACTTAGGGCAGATTATACAGCTAGGTAGGTCCAATTTCGACAAAGAGGTCGCCCGAAGAATCAAACTTGGATGGGCAGCGTTCGGGAAGTTACGCGAAATCTTCTCATCGAAAATCCCTCAGTGCCTAAAGACCAGGATGTTCAACCAGTGTGTGTTGCCGGTGATGACGTATGGTACCGAGACGTGGTCCCTGACCTCTGGCCTTCTGGAGAAGCTCAAAGTCGCTCAGCGTGCGATGGAGAGAGCTATGCTCGGGGTTTCTTTGCGCGACAAAATCCGAAATATGGAAATTCGCCAAAGAACAAGAGTTACCAACATAGCTCGCAAAATCTGCAGACTAAATTGGCAATGGGCAGGCCATGTCGCTCGAAGGACTGACGGCAGATGGGCCAGGAAAGTCCTTGAGTGAAGACCACGGACCGGAAGACGAAGCGTGGGCAGGCCTCCCGCTAGGTGGACCGACGACATCGCCAGAGTTGCAGGGAGCCAGTGGATGCGGGTTGCGGTTGTCGTTCGACGTGGAGGGCTAAGGGGGAGGCCTTTGTCCAGCAGTGGACGTCTTCCGGCTGTTGATGATGATGACGATGACACCGGAAATGCTTGGAAGTACAACAAAATTTAACAAGACAGGACAAGGAAAGAAATTGTTTTTGGAGTGGTTAGAGTTATTCAGGGGAGTGAGATGACTATTAAAAGCAATCTTTGATACATTTTCTATATTATGAAGATATTAACTCGTCGAGTACCGGTTTTATAGACACAATTAAAGAACAATAGGTCGCGGTCACCGGTGACCGCTTGGTGTTTGACAGATTAAAATTATTTAATACTTAATTTTCAAAACTATATTTTTAACAGTTCCTAAATACCTAGTTTCGGAATTATATATATTTCATAGGAATCTCATACATTTCTGGTAACACATAAATAAGAATTATAATAAAACTAAATATTTATTCAGTATTTATAAATATTGTCTATTTATCCCAAAAACCGCTTATCTCTATGTAGGTACCTAATAATGTGATTTATTTCTAATGCCGACCTTAGTCCGGCCCCGATTAAGCTATAAATGCGCATGTGTATTTTTCACAAATTTTAGGTCATGTTGGGTCTGCTTATCTAATATAAATCTGTGGCCGCAGCCACGCCAGAGTCGTGCTTGTTAGATGTGTGATGACCTTAACACTTTATAAATACAACAATACACATTTCTAAGTGACGTTACTTCTCATATACTTATTTCTTATATACTTAAACTTACTCATTACATTACGTTCACCTTTTTTCACTGTTTCTTTGGCCGAGTGGTAGCAAGTGCGACTGCTGGGCAAGGGGTCTTGATAAGGGGTCTTGACTCATACATAACATAAATAGTGAAAAGTGCGTATTACATTGTACAGTGGCATTAAGTGCCGTAATGAGCAAATCTGCCTACCCCTTTGGGGATAAAAGGCGTGATGTTATGTATAAAACCAGGTACGAGACGAAGACGAAGTGTATGGGTGTTTTCATCAATACAACGAAATAATAAACCCGCCAATAGATTTCCTATTGGCAGGCTCAAAAAGCATTTATTCAAGTTTGAAAGATTTGCTCATCTCTACCCTTTCTTGACAGAAATCCAAAATAACCTCACTTCGCCATTGTTCTAAAAAGGCATTACAGAATTTAAGAAGTTATTAAAAATGGCAAAACCAGTGGACTTGGAACTGAAAAAAGCATTTATTGAATTGCAACTTAAAATGGTGGAAACCAGTGAAAAAATTCAAGTGATAGATTCTCAAATAGAAGTACTCAAACGCGTCTTGCAGCATGTAGATATTACTCAACGAGAGATCAGTACATTTCCACCTGCGACTAAAACTTACGAATCCGTTGGCAGAATGTTCCTCCTCACCGACTTAGATGAGGTCAAGAACAACTTAAAGACACGAAAGTCGCAATTATCGACTCGTATAACAGAATTAGAGAACAATACACAGTATTTAGAGAAGAATCTGAAAGAGAGTGAAGACAACATCAGAGAAATGGTACAACAGAGGAAAGAGCAAAGTGACGCTAAATCTAACTAAAAAATATATTTTTCGGCTTTATTTAAACACCAATACTTTAAAATTTGAATAGTTATAACGAAAAGAGAAGTTTTAATAAAACCACTGAACTTTGAACCTGCTTATAGCCCGGTGGGTGAATAGTAAGCTTTTTAATGTTACTTACAATTAATAAATAATAGAAGTATAAATTTTTATATTTGATTAATCTTTTATTCCGTTCAGAGCAGGTTGTTACAACAGGAACAATAATAGTTCTTTAATTTTCTTTTAAACTTATGTTGCATTAATTAATATTTTAATTTTACCAGTAGCTGCATGATAGATTTTATTGTTTACTTGTAGGATATAATTATTCTTGATTTCAATGTAGCTTTTAATTTCATAAGACTTATTTGCCTAATTATGTTCATTAAGATATTTCATTTATTCAACATTTTTGTTTGCTTATTGAGTAGTTTCTATTTGCAGGATGAGATTTTGTTATGCACTGCAGAATTCTGCATCTGGGCCCATTCAACGTTATTAAACTGAACTAATGGACAAGCATTAGTGTTTTATGGTTTAAGTGTTGATTAACTATATAATAACATAATACATTAAAGTGAGATACTGATCCAAACGCTTTACTATGCTAAACAGAACACAATAAATAATTTTTCAAAATTCGTTTTTTATTTATCATTATGTGTTCATATTCCTTGCCGTCTTAATATAAAAATATATGCAGATATTAATAATAATTAACTTTAAAAGCTGATACTATTATCACATATTGTGACTAACTAACATATAGTAAAAAAACCACAAGAAATATTGTGAAATTACAAACATACATATTCATAATTTCATGCCTGTTTCCCATGGGAGAGGCAGACTGGAATGGCAATAAATTGCCATTGTGAAATTTTTGTTTGGTTTGAAAAATGTTTTAATGCAATAATATTGATCACCAATAGATGATCAGATTTGGTACAATTAAGTTAAATTTCTGCCTCTAATAAAAGAAAACTGAATTGAGGCCCAATAGGAAACAATTTAGTGGTCTTTAGATACCTAGGTGGGCAGGCAGGCAGGGCCTTAGACTACGCTGGGGCCTTTTGGCAACATTATTTCGGGGCCCTTGTGGAATGTTTTTTTTAACGTTTCACCACACTAGAATTTTCTCCTGTATCGTGGGGGTGTTAACAAAAAAACAACTACACATACACTACATCAAAACAACAATTTATGGATCATGAAAAGATTTGCTCCATGCGGGAATCGATCGGCTACACGTTACGGGCAGCCAGTTGCCGCACAAATTGTAGCGGGTGTGTGACAGTCGTAAAAATTGTCGGTTCCTCGGGGCCCCCTGAAGATGGGGGCCCGATTGCCCTTATGGTAAAGACGGTACTGTAGGCACTAGGCAGGTAGGTTGCCGAAAGCTAATATTAAGAGTACGACTTGGAGCAGGAGTTGGAATGGATTGTTTTAGAGTCAGTAGTCAGTAAGAATTTGCCCAGGACAAATTCGCATCTCACCCATTTGATGGGACCTACGAACGATAAAACATTCCAATTACTTTACCTTCACATCTCTGCATTATATATGGATAACCATACTAAATTAACTAACTCACGCTAGGGCCATTCATGAGCAGCTTTGGGCGTTACACGACACACAAGTGTCACACGTGCTAGCTATAGTACCTATAGGCATGGTGCATGACGATCCGGGTGCTTACTCTTGAAACCAATCTCAATGTCAATGCAATTTTAATCCAATAAAATCTCAATAATTATCCAATGTCAAAACTATACAACCCCTACCGTAGCAGATAAAGTAGCATTTAGAGTATGGAATATAAAACCAAACTCAATACCATTTAGTTCATGAAATATCTACGCAATACGGATGCAAAAGGCGCTAGTGTTACAAGTCAAGAGTACGAAATTTCACAATGTCAATGTCGATCGATCGGAATTGGATTCAAGAGTAAGCACCCAGGTCATGAATAGGAGCCCCTTGTGTGGCTTGAAACTAGTAGACTTCCTTGTCAAACAGACTCGAACAATTAGGCACTTGAGGCTTATATGGTGGATTATTAGAGAATAATTTAGTCCGCCAATGTATATATTATATAAAAATGTAAATTAAAGGCACAGGGAGCTGATGGATGCACTTCCAATCTTTCTTACTTTTGCTGATGTGATCTGGAAGTCACTATATCCGCTTAACGCGTCGTTTTCGACGTGCAACTTGTAGACCCATCAGCCCATCAAAGCACCACAAAGGTGCCACCGGGCAGTAGGGACTGATCAGTGCTACGGAGAACCTCAAGAGTTACCGAGACTCCGGCTCAATGCAGAAGTTGGACCGGGATGGGTTTTGTCAAGATACTACCGCCTGGAGTGAGGCGAGAGGCGGCCCTCATAAAAGGCCTGTATTCAGCAGAGGACATCTTGTAGTTGATAATTATGATGATAAGATACCGAGAGAAAACCTGGGCATTGATAACACCCGGGCGCCACGTAACCGTAAGCTGACAAACAAGAAGTCTCGCGTTAATTACTGGATCATTGTTTCCAAATATCTCAATAAGCATAAAGTGAGAAATAATGTGTGCAGTATAGAGTAGAAGGTGTCGCAGATGAATCTCTATTGAACATGATTACAAAGGACTGATAACACAACTCGTTATAAGCGTTTGTTACATTTATGCAACTGCTTACCCTTTTGGTCTGATAGTTTCTCTTTATGAATAGTAACATAGCACATAGCGTAAGTTACCTCTACTACCAGCAACATACACAACAGTAGATAGATAGAATTGAGCAGTTTCTAAATGATCTAACATTTATTGTATGAGCGCTGCAAAACATTTTGTACTCAATTACTTGGTGGAGTTAAGTTATTTTTTAATGCTCAAGTATGTATAGTTAAGTAAAAGTATTTTCTGCCCTAAAAACTGTTGAGATGTTATGTATCATTAGTCATTACAATGCGTCTAGATGTTTCATGTTCGAACACCTTTTTTTCAACGTCAAGGATGTTGTAAAAGTTGTGTGACATGTTCTTAAGAGACATCTAGACTCTAGGCACCATATATCAATAAACACCCATTTTCCGTTTCGATAACAGGAGGTAGCAAAGAATACGAAGGTTATCTTTATCAACAAGTCGATTATTTTCAAAATTTTTATTTTTACACAAGAAGAATTGTTTTCAATAATTCTTATATGAATTTTTTAATACTAAGTTCATGAATTTCATTTAAACTAAATTATATCTTAACGAAAAATACTTAAATTGCTACTAAACGTTGATCGTAAATAAAATAGTGAAATATTTACACAACAATCTAAATTAAGTAGTATAACGTAAAATTTAAATTTATATAATAACAAATTCATGTGACCTTATTAAATGGTAATAATGTTCAGTAAATTAAAGCTAAAAAGCTTAAAAAGCATTATAATGAATGAATTATAATTAATTAAATAATTAATAAATGTTTTAACATTAAAATATTTATATGAGTATAAAATACCTAGTGATATTGCAAAGACTGCTTCTTTATAATCAATCATTATTAATACAGATAATCACATACTAATTTTAACACTTTACTATTTAATTTAATAAAATATTGAGTATACATGGAATGGGCAAATAAAATTGTACTAATTAAGCGTTTTCTATTCCATATAAGGATAACGTATAAACCTTGAGGAAATAGCCTACGCAACTACGGGCTTATATTAACAACCTTATCGTTTAACATAATTACGAAACACGAAAGAGTTCCCTCACTAAAGTGATGTGTATATTTTATTCCTGGAACCGTTTAAGAAGCAGTCTCTCATCCAGTCATCACAGGCTATGCGAATACTATTATTATATAAAAAACTATAATCGATTAAAGATTAACTTGTCATGATATAAAATAAACATTGCCATTACAATAATGTGTGAATAAGAAATAATCATAAAATCTTCACAAAATGCTACATTATTTAAATCTACAAACAATATAAATTACACTTTCCTATAACAAGTCACATTTATGATTATTTATTTAGGATTCCACATAAGAAGCTATGCTACTGTTACTGTTTACTTCTCTAGAGCCAAGAGGGTCGATTAATGTCGTACGGTTGCCTGACGCCAAGGGTCGGAGGATAGCCGCCGGGATACAAGCTCATAATCTGTGCACCTGTTTGCCGTAATAACTCTTCTTGGTGTTGAAGATATTGTTGATACAATGGCGAAGTCGGGTCCGTCCCTACGAAAGGATAACCAGCTCTGACCTGTGAGTGGCCAATAAAGGGAAACGAGCTCGCTGTATGTGTTGAATTTTGATGCGCGGGTTTCACTAACTTTTCTGCATTTACCTCGGCATTATTACGCTGCTGATGTGCAACGGCTGCAACCATGTAGTTGGCTGCCATAAGCTGATTAGCAGTACTATTACGGAAGTCTTCAATTGAAAAGCTGCCATTATCTCCATATAGTCCACTGCTTAAAGCCATGTTTGTTGATGTTCCAAAATTGAATGCATTTCCAGGCATCATAGTTGATTTTACAGATGACAAAACATCTGTGCCACATGAATTAGGGTGGTATGATTGACTGATCTGTGCTGTTTGCTTTGTCTCAGAGGTTCTCTTCCTCTTGTTCTTTGTTTTCACATCTGGTGCAGCATTGCAAGTTTTATAAATACTATTATCCTTACTCATTGCCATGGATGGCTGAGAATACACACTAACAGAGGTGCTTACTGGATGTATGTCTGAAGAAATACTTTTATTAAACATTTGCGCCATTTGAAATGATTTGTCATGGTACAATGATGCTGCTTGGCTACTTGCGAAAGAAGATAAATATCTCTCATCATTAGTGTACCTCTCCAACATCTGCGGGATATTTGGCAAGTTCCGCAATGTGTCCAGTGGTAGTGATGTAGGATTGCTGTATGGTGTCTTGTATGGGTTCGAACTTACTAAAGGATGATTTTGTACAAGTTTCTCAGGTTTCTG